TGTAGTCCCAGCACTCGGGAGGCAGAGGCAGGCAGGTCTTTGTGAGTTCAAGGCCAGCCTGGTCTACATAGTGAGTTCAGAGAGAGTTGAATACCAGCTTTGAGTGCCTAAGTTAGGCACTAATACACAATACAGTGTGCTTGGTGCTATGCCCAGACTCCTCATGCCTTGCCTTTCTCATAGTAACTTCCCAAATGTATATCTCCACTTCATAGATGAAGAAACCAAGGCTTGGGACATTAAAAATATTGCTCCAGGTTTTAAGAAATAAAGAGAAAAGCTGGAACTCAAGTTCTATAGTCTTTTCATCAGGCTACAGTGACTTTCAAAGAATTAAATAGTTCAGAAAGCTGAACTTTAAAAAGAAGAAAGTGAAATAGAACAAAGCATTTGCTGTCTCTTAATTGACTGAAGGTTTATTGTTGTGTTTTCTAGTGCTCTTTTTGTTTTTATCTTTAGTTTGTTTGGTTTGGTCTTTTGCACAGGGTCTCCCTATAACCCCTCCCCGCTGGCATAGAACTCACTAGGTAGACCAGGCTGGTCTTTATCACGCAGAGATCTACCTGCCTCTGCCTCCTGAGTGCTGGGACTAAAGGCCTGTGCTACCACGCCTGGCTTCTAGTGCTCTTTCTTTTTTGTCTTTTTGAGACAGGGTCTCCCTGTAGCCCCAGCTGTCCTGGAACTCACTATGTAGACCAGGCTGGTCTTGAACTTACAGAGATCTGCCTGCCTCTGCCTCCTGAGTGCTGGGACTAAAGGCGTGCGCCACCATGCCCGGCTCTAGTGTTCTTTTTAAAAAATATTTTTTAGGGGCTGGAGAGATGGCTCAGCAGTTAAGAGCACTGACTAATCTTGCAGAGGACCCAGGTTCGATTCCCAGCACCCACATGGCGGCTACAAACCGTCCTTAACTCCAGTTCCAGGGGAATCTGAAGCCCTCTTCTGACCTCTGCGGCATTGCACAACACAGGTGCACTCACACACGTAGGCAATACACTCATACACGTAAAATAAAAATAATAAAAAATATTTTTTATTAATTTATTGATTCTTTGAGAATTTCATACAATGTATTTTGATCATATTCAGACCCCCTCCCCCCATCATCACCCCATCCTAGTATCACACCTGACATCATGTACTCTAATCTGTTTAAAAGAATAATCTTTCATTGTGCTTTGACAGTTTCTTACATGTAATATTCTGATCATATTCACCCCAACCCCTCTCTTTTCCCTTTCACACTCTCTCTGCAACATGTCCCCCTTCTACTTTTATATCTTTTTTTTAAAAATAGCTCCCTGGGTTTAATTTGGGTCTCACGTACATGGTTTAGTGTTATTTACTAGATCATGAGCAACTTACCAGTGACTATACCACTGACAAAAATGAGTTCCTTCTTCCAGCAACCATTAACTGTGTGTAGCTCCTCATGTGAGACCCCCCTCCCGATCCATGCTGAGTGTGGATGGGCTCAGTCTTGTGCAGGTCACCACAGCTTCTGTGAGCTCACAAGTACAGCCATGTCATGTCCAGGAGACAGCATTTCCCAGCACCCCTCCCATCCACCAGCTCTTATGATTGTTCTATCCCCTCTTCTGTGATAGTCCCTGAGCCTTGGGGGGTCTTTTGAGTATCTTAATGTTGTGTACCTCTTTGAAATTTGAACAAGCTGCAATCTGGTCTGTCTTTTTAAATTCAGCTAATTATTTTTCTTAAATACATAATCATCATAATTTTTGTCTTGGTATTTTTAAGGTAGTACTTGTAGCATTTATGTACTGTTCATTTGCTTATTTGTATAGGGCATTATGTGACACAAAGAACTGTGGGAAGCTTTCAAAAGATCAGTTTGCCTTGGCTTTTCACTTAATCAATCAAAAATTAGTGAAGGGCATTGATCCTCCTCACATTCTTACTCCTGAGATGATTCCACCATCAGACAGGTCCAGTTTACAAACGGTAAGAGAACCTAAAAGAAAACCTGAGTGCATGGTAAAGGAGCAAGTGCTGTATCAGTTTGGGTGGAGTGATGGGGCAAGAGCTGTACACGGTTGTTGGTTTAGTGTGTACCCGTAAACATGGCCACATGCCTTCATAACATCCTTGAACTACAGCTTGTTAACCTCACTGTTCATTGCACACATGATAGCTGTATTTTCTTATCTTAAATTGAAGGTGTTTTTTTGGTTTTTTTTGAGGCAGGGTATCATATGGCTTACACCAGCCTTGAACTCTATGTGGCTGAGGATGTCCTTGAACTCCTTATCCCCCTGCTTTTACTTTCCTAGTGCTGGGATTAGTGGCATGCACCATACAAGGCTCAATTTTTATGAATAGAGTTAGTGGTGAGATGATACCTGTAAGAGGCAGAGGCAGGCAGATCTTTGTGAGTTCGAGGCTAGCCTGGTCTACATAGTGAGTTCCAGGACAGCTGGGGCTACAAGGAGACCCTGTCTCAAAAAGACAGAAAAAAAAAAAAAAAAAGAATTGTTACATTTTATCTGATCTTCACTCTCACGGAAAATAATACAAATTTGGTAACAAAATCTAGGTGGTGGTGAGTGTTTGGTATCAATTTCACATCAGAACAGCCCTCAAAAAAACAGTATGTGATGGCCCTGAATCAAGGCCAACAGTTTGCTGAAGCTATTGGTTTCAAGCAGGTGCCTAAAGAAATGTCTTTCTGTGACCTGTTGGCCATTTCAGAAATTTGGAAATGTAATGGTCAATTCATTAAAAAGAAACATGTGACTGAAAAAAAAGTTAAATAAATAGATATTAGGAGGGAGATATGATGGGGGATCTTGGGGTGTGTTATAGCGGGGAGTCCCGTGTTATAGCAGGGAGTCGGGGATTGGATATGATCAAGATACATTGTATACATACACGAAATTTTCAAAGAATGAATAAAAATTATTTAAAAGAAAAAAAGAAAAACGGTATGTTGAGGATACATCTATATGTAAGTTTTACCATAGGATGACCCTTGGTTCCTGAGATATATGAGCTTTGTATCTAAACAGCTAGAAGTTAATTTGGTTTCTGGTCAGCAATGGGGGTTTTCAAAACAACTTTATTTCATTTCTTTGTCTAGAAACCTTTCTAAGATAGACCATTTACAATACCCTGATCTAGTAGACCTTTCAGAGTACTCACATACTATAGAATTTAGTTCCTCTTAAAACTAAATAAATAACCAAATGTTGTAGCTTGTACCTGTAGTCTCAGATCTTGAGGAGGCTGAGGCAAAAGAATTTCTTGAGTCTAGGAGTTCAAGACTACCTTGGGCAGTACAAAGAGACCTCATCTCACAAAACACTAACAAAATAAAACATCCCCGCCCACACTTTGTATCCTTAAATAAATCTTTTTTCACCTGTAAGGTAAATATTGCTGTAATGATTTTTCAAGGTGGTAACAGGAGTTGTCAAATATATGCTATGAACGAAGAACTTTCTTTTAAATTTCAATAGAATGTTTCAGTTTTGCATTAATTTTGTAACATGGGTTAAAAAGTACATTTTAGCCAGGCATGGTGGTGCATACCTTTAATTCCAGCACACCAGAGGCAGAAGCAGGTGGATTTCTGTGAGGGCTACATAGTAAGACCCTGTCTCAAGAACAAAGGAGAAAAAAAATCCATTTTAACTTAACAAATGCCAAAATTAGATTTTTTTTCTTCCAAGTAACCTAAATGGAATTTACCACCGCCAGGTACAGAGATTATTGTAGGAGTTTTTGTTCTTTAATAAAATAGCATTTGGTTATCTGCTTTGTGAGTTTTTGGGTGGCGTACTTTGTGAATTTTTTGACTCTTTGATGGATGACATGGGTCCCCTAGTTAGGGAGAAGATTGATGTCCTGCTCCATAGAAAGAAAGGCTACTGATTTATGTTTATGCTTTCTGCCTGCACTTCAACTGTGCAGCAATAGATTTCACATATGTGGGTTTTTTCTTCTGCCTTTGAAATTTATATCCTGAGTCCTATCAACTTCAATTTCAGATAAAACAGAAAATCCTGAATCACTTATGTTTAGTCATTGAAATCTGTATGCTAACAGACACTGAATTGTGGATAGTATACACTTTGTAATTTAGTAAGCTTATTAGATGTCCATTCACCAGAGTGTGCCTTCTCTGTGTGCCAGATTCATTGAGATGGAATTTTCATTGTCTTATTAACTGAAAATTTGACCTTAAAAATTAAAATTTGTATTTATCTGTCACATAATTTCTTTTCTCCTTCTAATTGATTTTTGAAAAGAGGTACTACATTTTCTGTAGCTTGACTAACCCCTTTTCTGAATGTTGCTCTCCTACTTTCTGTGTTTTTCTAGTTTGGACTATTTTTTCCGTCCCACAGCACTCTGATTTTCACCTTCTTGTACAGTCAGTGTCTCTACTCTCAAGGTTAGAGCTTTATTTTATGCCCTTGCTTGTTTTAGCATTATGGTTTTTGGTTTGGTTTACAGGATATAGTTTAAAATTAGAGGGTTTTTATTTAATGCAGTAGTAAACAGCTTTTGTCTCATGCTCCTTGGTCCTGTGTGCATTGTTGCTAACCTTCCCTAGTCCATTTCATCCACTTAAAATCACTAAAGTGAAACTTTTTTGAAATGCACCAAACAATGTAAGAGAAAATATTTCAAAAGAAGGGGGCATACTATGTTTTCTCTGTGTACCTTCATGTGTTTGTTGTGTATAGTAGTAGCTGAGCTTTTTCCATACTTCTTGTTTGCATGCCATTTTAGTCATATAAGGGTGTCACCTTCTGAATTGTTTGTGGTTAAACTAATTTGTTTTACTTTATCTTATCAGATAGTATTTTAATAGCTAAGACTGTCAAATATGAGTCACTTTTTCAAGTTGGAGTGTAGAAGTCATGTGTTTCTTGGTATACTTGCACCTCTCTTAGAAAATTTCTCAGCATTTAAGTGGTAGAAGTTATTTTTGGTGATGAAAGTGTGACCAAATGCTATTTTTTCATTTTGTTCACCTGCTTAGCTATCTGGCTCAGCTTGACTCATAGGTCAAGTTTAAATGGAGTTAAAATGTTGGTGACCCAACCTCCACCTTTTAGGGCCAGTGAGGTGCGCGGGTTCACTCCCCAAGATCCTCAAGGTGGAAGGAGAGAACTGACATTCACAAATAGTCCTGTGACCTCCACATGCACTCTGGTACATTTGAACACAAATAATTGTGAACATTTTTTAAAAATGAGTATATGATGTACTGTGTCTGTGCCACTTGGGTGTGGCGGTCACAGGACCATTTGGAGTTCTCTATCTGTCTCTTCCTGGTTTCTGGGAATTGAACTCAGGAGGTTGTCACCTTTACCCACTGCTGATCTCTCCCACATGAGTTACTAGCACCTGGTCAGTGTTAAACTAGGCATCTCAGTTAAATTCAAAGTGGTGGTCTCCACATGTGGTATAGGGTGGGCCCTGGTGTCTGCTGTCCTCCCCTTTATGGGACAGGTTGGTAGAAAGAGAATCCTATTCCTTCCTACTCACAGGCAAGTTCCTGGACTACACCTGCTGTCCATGAGTTGCATATTGAATAGCAAGTAGCCTGAGCTACAAGATTTGAGTTTCTCATTTGGGGTTTTGTTTTGATGTAGGGTTGTAAGCCCATGCTGGCCTAGAATTCACAATGTACCCAAGGATGACCTTGGGCCCTCCACCTCTCAAGTGATGGGTTTACAGGTGTGCACCACCATGTCCTACCTTTGGCCTTGCTTAGGCTGAGCACCGGGCAAAGAGCCTGCTTGCCATAGATTTGCTCCAAGTTCCAGTGTTGTCTCCCAGGGAGGACCATGGGCATGTGCCGGATGCAGGGGCATGCTAGCCTGGCCACTGGTTGGCAACTGGATTGCCACATTGACTCTAAACTATCAAACTTTTGAAATTCTTCTAACAACAAAAACAAAAAAGACAGTGAATAACTCAGAAATCTATCTTAAAATCTATCATAATTTAACTTAACATTAATAAGGGTCTATATCAGTGGAGTTTAGTAAAATAGTTTAAGTATGTTTGAGTACCAAGTATGGTGATACACATCAGTAATCTCAGCGCTCAGGAGGCTGAGGTAGGAGGATTATAGGGAGTTCAGCGGCAGCCTGTGCTACATAGATACCTCAAGGAAAGCCTGAGCTATATAAGGAAGCACTGTCTCAATCCCCCAGAAGTATATTTGATATAAACTTGTAATATAAAATTGAAAGTATTATTAATTGAATCCATATAGATTAGTTTTAATGTTGATAGTTGTATTAGTTACTTTTCTGTTGCTATGATAGAAACACATGACCAAGGGAAGGGCATGATGGTAGAGATGGCTGGAGAAGGAGCAGAAGCTAAGCACTCACATCTTCAAGCAGGCACAGGAAGCAGAACACTGCTTGAGATCTGGCAAGACTTGAACTTTCTAAACCCGCTCTGAGCTTCATCCCCATGGCCACACTTTCTAAGACCTCTCAAAGCAGCCCTATTGACTGGGGACAAAATGTTCAAATACTTGGAGCCTATGGGGGACATTCTTATTCAAATCATCACAATAGTCAAAACACCTCAATACTAAAATAAAGTTGAGGGGTCTTGGAGAGATGGCTCAGCAGTTAAGAGCACTGACTGCTCTTGCAGAGGACCTGGGTTCGATTCCCAGCACCCACATGGCAGCTAACAGCCATCTATAACGCTAGTTCCAGAAGATCTGAAGCCCTCTTTTGTCCTCTGAGGGCATTGCACAACATGGGTGCACTTACCTACATGCAGGCAATACACATTAAAAAAAAAAAAAAAAAATGGGGCTGGAGAGATGGCTCTGTGGTTAAGAGCACTGACTGCTCTTGCAGAGGACCCAGGTTTGATTCCCAGCACCCATATGCTAGTTCCAGGAGATCTGATGCCCTCTCCTGACCTCTGAGGGCATTGCATGACATGAGTACACTTACACACATCCAGGCAATATACTCATACCCATAAAATAAAAAATAATAATAAAATATTTTTTAAAAAATAAAAAGTAAATAAAAAAAGAAAAAAATTGAAGAAATTATTTGCCAATTTAAAATTTTACTTCTGGCATGATGGTTTTCTAAATTACCTTGTCCTGCAAGTGCCAAAGGGCACAGTATGAAATGACACTTGAGATGGGCGTGGTGGCACCTGCCTTTAGTCCCTGAAGAGACAGGTGGATCTCTGTGAATTCCAGGACAGCCTGGTCTACCACAGTTCCAGACATAGTGAGACCCTGTCTCTAAAAACAAAAACAAAAAACAAGAGAAATGACACTTGAATTTAATTAGAAGACTTAATTAGATTATTAGCTTGGGTTCAACTTTGAGCAATCATTTGTATCATCAGCCCTAAAATGTAGTTAGTAATGTATTACTTTTGAAAATTGAGTGATGGGGATTGTAACACTTTTAAGTTTCCACTGTTGTGCAATTAGGTGATATACATTAAATTCAGAACATAAGTAAAACTACTAAATTTTATTTTCTACTAAGAAGGTCTTCAATATACCTTAGGTTTCACATGTTCCAAAAGTTAATAATTCTGTTATTCATCAATCTGATTGTAGCATTATATATAAAATGTTTAAAGTAGCAGCAGTTAGCTTTTGCCCTGACCTTAGACAGCTAAACAGGACATCGGTGGTAGTTCACAAAAGAAAATTATTTCATTTAGTTTGCAAGGTGGACTGCGCAGAGACCTATTTCTCCAGTTTACAGGTGGAGATTATGTAATTAGTAAAAAAAAAAAAAACAGAATCCAGATTAAACTTAGCTAGGTTTTTCTAGCTATAAGTACCATTCAGAGACCAATTTTGATACCTTCATTATTAAAAGAAAACTCTATGTATTGTGTACATTGGTACCTCTATGTAATCTCAGGACTTGGAGGTACAGGCAGAAGGATCAGGAGTTCAAGGTCACCATTGACCCCATAGCAAGTTTGGGGCCGCATAGGTAAATGAGACTCTGCCTCAAAAAAACAAAAACGGGGACTAGAAAAAGGGCTCAGTGGATAACAGGTACTGTTCTTGCAGTGGACTAGAGTTGAATTCCTTGAACCCATGTTGGGCAGCTCATAACTGTCTATACCTATAGTTCCAAGGGATCCCATGCCTTCCTCTGGCCTTCTCAGTGCATATACACATACAGACACAGAGACATACACATAAAAAAAATCTTTAAAAAAAAGCCAAACAAGTATCAAAAACAATACCACATATCAAAAAAGAAAAAAAAAGCCATATGTAAAAAATGTCATTTATGAAGAGTTTTATAGTGATAGTGATATTTACTATGGAACATGCTTGAGCAGCTGCTTTTACTTTAAATAGAGTACACACTAAAGGTGTTTGTTGAATTGAATAAAATCAGCCACTATTATAAACCTGAGATTCAGCAAAGATTTTTATATTAACTGTATGCCAGGTGATATAAACGGAAAGATCACCATCCATCTTACTACAAATACCACATTTTAGTGGAGAAATTAGTTTTTGATCTAATGTGTGTTTTACTGCAGGATTCTAGATTAGTCTAGGATCAAGTGACAACGACAGTGGAATCTGAGGTGGGGTACATATTATAGAATAACAGCTTTTTAGAGACTTTTTAAGAGAACGGTCTTAATATGCAGCTACAGATATGATTATAGTTATGTTTGTATGATTGTACTGGAGGTTTTATTAAATGAGTTAGAAGTGGTAATAATGCAGTAAAAGGTGATACCTACCTTGTATCTCTGTAGAGCATGTTTAGTGCTTAACATTTATAGTAATAAAAATTCTAACTTTTTGTTTTTAGAACATCATAGGATCAAGTCCTGTTGCAGATTTCTCTGCTATTAAGGAACTAGATACCCTTAACAATGAAATAGTTGACCTGCAGAGGTATGTAAAGTAAAATTATAGCTGACTTTATATTTGCACACACAGAGTAGTATATCCTTGCTTCTGATGCATGGCTAGTAAATGCTACTTTGTTTTATTAAATACTATACTTTTGCTTGAATGGAATCAGTATGCTTCATTTAAATAAATGTAAGGCAACCTTTAATTGCAAGATGTCCTGTTTTACTTTATTTTATATGTATTGCTGTTAAAGAGAAAATCACTACCCAATAAACACACACAGTAGACAGTATCTGAAGGCCTGATCTGGTGGCACAGACCTGTAATCTCAGCTACGTTTGATGCTGAAGTAAGAGGACCAGGAGTTTAAGGCTAACAATTTAGTGAGACTCTATCAAAGTTAAGAAGTACTAGGAGGACTGAACATAAAGCTTAATGGTCGAGTGCTTACCTAGCATGCACAAGACCCTGGGTTCAATCTCAGTACTGCCAAAAAAATTATAATAAAAATAAATTTAATCTTATAATGGATGAAACAATAGTTTTTATTTTTATTTAATTTTTGATATCTGAATAACAGATTAGAGAAAGATTATTTAGCTTTTGTTTTTTGAGGCATAGTCTCATTCAGCCCAGGCTGGCCTTGAATTTGCTGTGTAGGCAAGACTCACTTTGTTTTAATTAATTAATTAATTTATTTATTTTTAATGAGTGCATTGCCTGAATGTATGTGAGTGCACCTGTGTCGTGCAATGCTGTGTGGGTCAGAAGAGGGCTTCAAATTCTCCTGGAACTGGAGTTAAGGACCATTCTTAGCCACCATGTGGGTGCTGGGACTCGAACCCAGGTCCTCTGCAAGAGCAGTGCTCTTAACCACTAAGCCATCTCTCCAGCCCCTTAAGGTTTACTTTGTACTCCTGATCCTCCTTCCAAGTGTTGGGATTATAGGCACCTACCACCATGCCTGCTTATTTAATGAATTTTATGGAAGGAATGTGCTATGTAGATACCATGTCAAATCCGTGTCTATAGTTGGATCCCATTTACTTTTCTAAGCATTTACTTTTCTTAGTGTTCCTCTGTCATCATGGCCATTCTTTCTGTCTTAGCCACTTCCTGTACAGTGTTCCCCCCCCCTTATTTTTTTGGTCTTTTGAGACAGGGTCCCCTTACAGTCCCAGCTGGGAATTGCTATGTACACCAGCTGACCTTGAACTCACAGAGATCTGCCTGAGACTATGCCTCAAAGGCATGTGCCACCAGGCCTGGCCAGACACTGTTCTTCCCTCAGCACTGAGCAGAGTGCTCTAACCTCCCATTGCTGCTTCACTCTTACATTCCTTTTTTCCTCACTGTGAGAAAATACCTGACAGGAGTAGATGGAGGGCGTTTCCAAGGGTATATAGACAGTCACTCATGGCAGAGAAGGCTGGGTGATGGGAAAAGCTCTGTCCAGGAGTGTGTGGTAGAGCTTCTCATAGAGCAGTCTGACCAAGAAACAGACTACACTGGCATTGGAGCTGAGCGCTAACCTTCAAAATCCTACTCCAGTGACCTACCTGCACCAGCCATACCAAGCCTCCACAACCTCCCAGAACACTACTAGCTGAGGACCAGGTATTCAAGTGTATCAGTGTGGTGGATGTTAGCATTTAAACCGCACTTAACATTAAACTGCACCACTTCCTTTCCTCTAACCATATGGTGGGGGTGGGCTTATTTCCCCAGCCTGCCTCCACTTTTATTTTTCTTTGTCTCTGATTTCACTGTCCTCCTTTGCCTAGATAAACCTTTTACTCTACAAATTTCTACTCATATTTTATGACCCAGCTTAATATCTCTTCTAGTAAGCCTTCCTTGAAGTCTTCAGGTTGCTAATTGCTCTTTTCTTTTTCAGAAACTATTCCTTTATTACTTGCTACAGTTTCTTTTTTTGTTTGTTTGATTTTGTTTTTGTGAAGCAGGGTTTCATGTAGCCCAGGCTGGTTTCAAACTTCTATGTAGCCTTGAACTCCTGATCCTCCTACCTCCACTTCCCATGTACTAGGTCTGCTGACATGTATCACCATACCTGGCTCATGGCTTTTTATAGTACATTTTATTTCTTACTTGGGAAATTTTGAATTCCTCATAGACAGGAGCTATGCCATATTTTCATAGAGCTAGAAATTAACACACAAAGTATATGGTACTATAGAATCTCAATAAAGATTAGTGGATTGATGAATCAAAATGTATAAATGCAAGAATGTATTCTGAAATTTATTCCTGAAGAGTTTATAACAGAATTAGAAGTGATGTGGTAAATGTTGAAATAAGGCAAAAGATGAAAATAATATTGGGTGTCTCCAATCTGATAGGGCTAACTCAAAGTTTCAGATTTTGGAGCATTTTGGTTTGGAATTTTTAGATTAGGTATGTTCAGCTAGTAAAGTCTATAGAAATATTTCAAAATTCCAAACTTACAAACCTGAAACACTTTGTTGTCTAAATTCTCATCACTATGAGAATTAAAGTCACTACTAACCTTAAAGTAGTAGACTGATTTTTCATATTTTTGTAGGCCTGTGGGGATTTAAAGAATTGTGGGAAAATATACAGAATACTAAATTTATCTTTTTTTTTTTTTTTTTTTTTTTTTTTTTTTTTTTTTAAAAAAAAAAAAAAAAAAAAAAAAAAAAAGAGGTGACCCTGAATTCATTATGTAGATGAGGCTTTCCTTAAACTCCTGATCCTCTTGCCTCTATATCCCAAGGGTTTACAGGCATGTGCCAATACACTCAGCAAAATTGCTTACCTTAATCACTTTTTAAAAACATTTTTATTTATTTATTT